TGATGCGCCAGAAATCGTTATTTCGCTTTAGGTTACAAGGAAGTAATTATTTACATAGGCGACAATGGTAGCCTTTTTTGGTCCTGCGTTTTCACTATCAAAGATCCATAGAAAAAAATGTCGAATTCTGAATTATCAACACCTTTTGGTGTAATTGAAACTGCAAAACACATATGGTGCCGCAGCTTTTTTGATAGAAAAATTGCATTTTTTAAGGGTACTCAACGGTTCCAGAATTTTCGAAATAGTATAAACGAAGAACACCCCTTGCTAAATTTGGCACAGAAAATGTTGCTCGTCACAGAGAGTTTTCTCTAAATTTCTCGCTATTTCTACACCAATGGCCAACACTCATTTCTCACTATTTCAATTTTGATTTCTAATTACAAGGGCAGCAGAAAATAAATTTACTTCTACCTATTATCTTGGATGTAAAATCTAGGTGGCGCCAGTCATCTTTATTTACTTCCTTTTAACCTATACTGACATATATTGAAATAAAATCGGACAATCTTTACATTAGTCGATTACTATATACTCCTGCTGCTAAAGTTCAAATTTTTGGATTAAAGGTACAATTTTTCACCTTTAAAAATGACTTTCTTTACAGGTACCCCCCTTTGCAGAAAACGTTGCTTTTTACAGACTTGGGGCCATTGGCCAGCTTATTTTGACTGTTTTGCTTTGTTTAAAACTAGGTGTTTGATTAATGAAGTTCGATTTAGGTCTATTAAAGACTTTAGGCTGATGATTTGATAACTGTGTCCAACTTATATGTCTTTATCTCGAATATATGAACACCGTTGCATAAGAGTCAAAATATTTTATGAAATAGACTATAAAAGTGCTGAAACTAAGAATTTATCATTGCTGTTATGTGTTTTATATGAATCGTGTGCAGAATATTCAATTCGACGATACTAAGGAGAAACATGTATTGCCTTTGATTTTTTACCTAATTTTAATATTTTAGGGGCATTTTGGCACATTTTGGCCATTAAAAATACAAAAATTTCGCTAACGTCAGAAAAAATAAGCCCCCCTTTTTTTAAAATATGCATAAATACATGCAGTGTTATCGAGGATGAGGAGAAATGATTAAAGACAGAGTCATTGACAGAAGTCTCGTTCTTACAGTAGGTTAATGAACCCTACCCCTTAGGCAGAAGAATAAAAAAACAGTAAAAATTTGATATAGACTATAGTTTCTTGGCAATCAGCAATTTTCTTCTGATACAGTTTATCACTTAGTACCTTATTAATTTACCGATCCAATTTCTAAAATATCTCGAAAAATACAGTGATGCGCCAGAAATCGTTATTTCGCTTCAGGTTACAAGGAAGTAATTATTTACATAGGCGACAATGGTAGCCTTTTTTGGTCCTGCGTTTTCACTATCAAAGATCCATAGAAAAAAATGTCGAATTCTGAATTATCAACACCTTTTGGTGTAATTGAAACTGCAAAACACATATGGTGCCGCAGCTTTTTTGATAGAAAAATTGCATTTTTTAAGGGTACTCAACGGTTCCGGAATTTTCGAAATAGTATAAACGAAGAACACCCCTTGCTAAATTTGGCACAGAAAATGTTGCTCGTCACAGAGAGTTTTCTCTAAATTTCTTGCTATTTCTACACCAATGGCCAACACTCATTTCTCACTATTTCAATTTTGATTTCTAATTACAAGGGCAGCAGAAAATAAATTTACTTCTACCTATTATCTTGGATGTAAAATCTAGGTGGCGCCAGTCATCATTATTTATTTCCTTTTAACCTATAAGTTGTCAGTAAAAGTTTAAAAAAGAGTCTATTCAAGGGAGACAACAAAGCCAATCTGCCATGGTTTTCTCTATCCAATTAGGCAAGGAAAATTACATGTAGTTACAAATTGGTCATTGTAATTTCAAATTATATACATTTTACAGACTTAAGAGGTATTGAGTGAAATTAAAGTAAATATTCATCATTAAACACCATTTGAATGCATTTAAATAAGTTGGTACCAGTTTACAATGGTATGAATTTACCATGGTACGAGTTAGCAGTGGTACAAGTTTGCATTGGTACGAGTTTTTTTTTAGTGGTACGAGTTGACATTGGTACGAGTTTACAATGGTACGAGATAACTATAATTCATGTCAGACATCAAGTTTAGATTATTTTTTTTAAAAATCATAAAATGATGACATTTGTGCTCAGCTGATACAACATTTTACAATCTTGAAGTTGATGCATTTTTGGACTCACCAACAAGGTTGGCAAAAAAGCGGTCAATACTAGTATTGACCATGCCGGCGGTAAATACCGGGAAATACTGGCAAATACTGGTCAATACTGGCAAATACTGGTCAATTGAAATTTTGATAGGACTTTACTATAAAACTAGTCCCTACCTCAGGTCAATTACTTGGTAAATGGATAGATATAGTCACAAGGCAGAAAGTCACTTATTTACCACATTGTAATAAGACAAAAAGTCACAATTAATTAGTTCATGAACATGGTTTAATGAAGATTTATCAAATATTAATTTAATCATACAACAGATATAGTCATTAACACCATGAAGTCAGTCACTTAAGAGAGACTATATAACATCTGATTTTCTTAACAGTTATTTTGAAAGATGCAATTAAAAAAGTTTTAAAATTTGTTTTATATATATATATGTTATATATTTATTAAAAAAAACATTTCCTGCATTTAGAACATTTGTATCATGCTGTTGAATAGTCAGGAACTAATTCATTGTTTAAAACAATCTTTGGAAATCACTTTTATGAATTTTTTCCTGTTATGTCAACATTTATTAGGGGACAGTTGTTATAGTAATTAAACTTTTGACACCTGTTAGCCATATAAGAATTATAGTTATCTCGTACCATTGTAAACTCGTACCAATGTCAACTCGTACCACTAAAAAAAACTCGTACCAATGCAAACTCGTACCACGGCTAACTCGTACCACAGAGAAAACCGTGGCAGATTGGCTTTGTTGTCTCTCTTGAATAGACTCTTTTTTAAACTTTTACTGACAACTATTTGATTTAATTTTTAATCATTCCAAATCGGTAACATTGAATAGATTTGTGTATTTTTCTATTGTTTCTAAAAGGAATTTTATTTAATGAAAGAATTTATTAATTGTGTTTTAAAGGTTTAAAATTGTTTATGACCAACAGTTAGAAAGTATGAAATAATATATGTTTATATAATATTCAGCACTTTGTAGCAGAATATGACCATGCTTTTATTTGATATAAATAATAGGTCATTATCATTCTTCTAATTTATAAATATCACCTGTAGTGGAAGATATGCATAGTTCTTTTAGAAAAAGTAGCCAATATATGAAATGGCACCTGAGATTACTCTCGGTTTTAAGTGGGGTTCGTGTTGCTTAGTCTTTCGTTTTCTATGTTGTGTCTTGTGTACTATTATTTGTCTGTTTGTCTTTTTTATGAGTTTGACTGTCCCTCTGGTATCTTTCGCCCCTCTTTTTTAATGATGTGTCTAATGGTATTGTGAATGACCAGTAGGCGTAATGGTAGTGTTGGCAGAATAACAAAGAATATGTTTCATTTTGATGCTTTATTTACCACAATTTCAAGAACATTCATGTATAAAAATTAACAAAACATCAAATATTACTATTTTTTTCTCTCAAGAAATACACCTTATGTTTTATTAACATATATATCATATATTATTTCACATATATATCATATATTATTTTGTCTAAGTTTTCATTAAATTCTGGTATAAAATTCAGATATTTTAATTTTTTGTATAAAGCTTAAAAAAAATAATCATAAAACATTCGTATTTATGTCTAAGTTTTTATTAAAATCTAGTATACAATTCAAGTAATTCAACTTTTTTTTGTTAAGTTTACCCCCAAAAAAATCATAAAACATTCGTATTTTTGAATATATTTTTAATGGTACGAGTTTGCAGTGGTACGAGTTCTGATTGGTACGACTTCCCAGTGGTACGAGTTTACGTTGGTACGAGTTAACTTTTTTGGTACGAGTTTACGTGGTACGAGTTTACAATGGTACGAGTTAACTTGCTTCCGCCATATAATAGGTAATGTTCTGATAATCTATATTGCTAGTCACTTGTAATTTATTTACCTGTAAAATTCAAACCTTTTCAAGAAAAAAATATCTTGATTTATACATCATTTTGTACATGTTATAATAACTGATATAGCTGCTCAATTTTATATGTGTACCAAAAGTATGCAATATCATTACCCCTAAGAACTAAATTAGTCATTTTTAATGTTTTAATAATTAATAACATACCAACATCATTCATTTTTATAAATTGAATCATGCCAAAGGAATAAAGTTTTCCCTCATCAACCATTTTTTTACTAGAATTGATAGATAAGTCAGTCAAAAGAAGCATGAAAATTTCAATTGACCAGTATTTGCCAGTATTGACCACTTGGGGAGTATTGTCCGGGGCGGTACATACCGGTAAATACCACTGGTAAATACCGGGGGTGGTAAATACTGCCCAACCTTGCTCACCAATTTTGAAAATGATGAGTCCAGAGATATTTTCATGAGTCCAGGACTCATGGACTCCTCTTCGTGAGAACCCTGAAACTGGTTACAGGTACAAAATAAATTGTATTCAAGTATTGTTCACAATGCTAGTATACCAGTACTATGACCTCAAGTACAGGAGCTAGATGATATCCGGCATTACTCAACTTGCTATTTTAAAAATCTAACTTTAAGGATGTGCCAAACAGATATATTGGATCAAGATTCTGATCCATATAGCATGTATAGCATAATAATAGGTGAAAATTGACACAACTTGTCTCTCTGTACTACTTTTTTCATCTTATGGTACACTGTTGCAGAGACATATATACACATGTGTATATATGTCTCTGGCCGTTGTTCATGGTAATTTCTTGTACTATGTAAAAATTATGCACCTACTAAATGCTTGACTATACATGAAATTTACTTACATGATCTACAGAAATTATATCTTTTAAAGAAACCTCTTCTACTACATTTTTAGGTGGGTTTTCAGTAAGATATATCCATTCGTCACCCAAAATAGCATATTTCAACGCTTTATTCTCCTTCTCCGAAACAATAATGCAAGATTCATAGGCACGCACTCTCTCATATGTTTCATCGTTCAGGGATTTTTTTAAAAAGCTTTCTAATTTACTGTTTTTCTTGAACAAAGTTTCCACTGTGCTTCGCGCCATACATGCTTTTCTGTGCACTTTCCCTGACTGTTTTACATTGTGAAAACAAAGATCGAGTAGGTGATATTCCAATCAGAAATATTATTAGTTTTGGAGTCGTTACCACATTGCTAGGCACGCACAGCCATTGTTATGCCGGAAATAATAAATTATGTGTAAAACATGTTCGTTGGTCCCGAATCCAAGTTATCTTCAGTATTAATGAGGCAGGTGTTACCTGTGAAAGGGGACGAAGTCTGAAAACCTTTACTTTGCAATTCCCAGCATAATTTCTGGTGAGAAAATAACTGAATTTAATTAAAAACATGATTTATACATAAAAAATGAAACATATAATACATATTATCAAGCATTTGTATAATAAAATCCTTGATATTATTAGAAGTACAAGGATTTAGATCGTTAGATCTGGGAACAGTATATAATATATATGTTCCTGGTTAGATACAGCATCCTGGCATCACTGTAGGTGAAGATTTCCTTAGATACGCTGATCACTCTTCAAAAAAAACTTTAACTTGAAAAACGTCCATTTTTAAACTATTTTCACTTTATCAATAATTGTTATACTGCATATGTAAATTGATGTCTTTATCGAAAATTTAGATAATCTGATGGTTTTGGTGAAATTGAATTTCTATTAAAATGTTAAAATTAAAATATATGCATTTTATTTATGCAGAAGTATATGTCATCATACATTTGGTGATACCTTTCAAATTCTTTGGAAGTCTTGGTAAAAGCAGAGTGTATATATGTCTGTGGTAAAAGCTAGCCATTTACAAAATTACAAAGTATATGATGCATTTACAGTAAACCTTTAAAAAGATATAATATATTTTCAATTATAGAGGTATTATATTTTGACCGATAGATTGATTTAATACAGAAACTGTAAACAAAAATAAACCAAAAAAAAAACAAAAACTGAAAGGGTTACACGTAGGTCTTGTTACGTCATAATTATACCGACTAAACCACGCACCTGCACACATTGATAACCACTGGAAAAGAACTGCATGTGACACGACAAAAGAATGATAAAATTGAGAATAGAAATGGGGAATGTGTTAAAGAGACAACAACCCGACCAAAGAGCAGAAAACAGCCGAAGGCTATGGAACGCCACAGCTGTCTTATGTGGTACTCTTACATTACATTATGTGGTTTTATTATTACTTGATGATATTTTGTCTTTACATAATATGGTTTTGACAGTAATTAATGATGTTTTGATATTACTCAAAATGATGTAGTCAAAACTTAATGATATTTCGATATTACATGATAGGGTTTCATATTGACTTGATATGGTTTTTCATTACTTAATATATGGTTTCGTTATTACTAAATATGATTCCAATATTTTTAATGGGGTTGTGTCACTGTGGTTTTAACATTACTTGATGTGTATGTGGGTTAGCGTAATGTAGTTGCTTACAGTTTTAGAAGCTATATCCAAAATGTTAACCGAATCGGTTCTTGATATATTACCAATTCCCATGATATTATCATTAAAACCGAGAGGATAGACTGTCTGTAATTTTTTAATCCAATTTAGTTCAATTATTTTCCGTGATCGGACAAACTTTGAATGAGATTCCCCAGGCTGCTTATTTACTACTTCTAAAGGTTGAACTGTTAAATATTTAATAGGATGATTGATATGGAATTGTGTTGCAATCCTCCGAAATTTGATGTAATTTATTAACAGGTAAAGTACAGAGTTTGGTTAACAGATAATGTCTGCTGTTGTTTTTTGAAATAGTTATTAGGTCCGAAATATTTGTATTGTTAGAACGAAATTTCCTCTGATTGCGATTTATTCTACGTCCATGAGAACGGTTTTTACGAACAGTTTTATAAACTATATCCAAAATGTTAACAGAATCGGTTCTTGATACATTACCAATTCCCATGATATTATCATTAAGACCGAGAGGATAGACTGTCTGTAATTTTTTAATCTAATTTAATTCAATTATTTTCCGTGAACGTACAAATTTTGAATGAGATTCCCCAGGTTGCTTATTTACTACTTCTAAAGGTTGAACTGTTAAATACTTAAAAGAATGGGTGTGCTTCTTAAGGTGTTGATAAATGATACTTTTGAATTTATGGGGTCTTTTAAAACGATAAAGGTGTTCTTGCGTGCGTTTAGATAAATAGCGCCCAGTTTCACCTACGTACTGAATACCACTTCCCGGTTTGTTTCATGTGAGTAAATAGATAATACTGTTTACGACATGTATCTAGCTCCTCTGCAGAATACCGTGCATCAGTTCCCTTATACACAACACTTATGAGTAATGCTATGTGCACAAACACTTGCAAAGTCAACCTGTAGGGTAAATTCTCAAACTGCATGGTTACATCTGAGATTCCGATAACCACTGATATAGTAATCTCAGGTTACATGGAACATGTGGAAGGTGATATGCGGTACTATTGAATCTGGATGACGGACATGTCAGACACTCTACCACCAATACAATAGACAATAACATTATTGAATAAAATTGAGAATGGAAATGGGGAATATGTTAAAGAGACAACAACCCGACCAAAGAGCAGACATGCATGTGACACACTCTGCTCTAACAGTCAATCTTTTTGGTCTTCAATGAATAGAATATATAAATAAGAAGATGTGGTATGCAAATGAGACAATTTTACTCTCTATCAGAGACCAAATGATGTAAAAGTTAACAACTATAGGTCACCATACGCCTTCAACAATGAGCAAATCCAAAAACCGCATAGTAAGCTATAAAACACACAGAAATGACAAATGTAAAACAATTCAAACGAGAAAAACTAACGGCCTGATTTAAATGTACAAAAAAACGAAAAACAAATATGATATACAGCAACACACAACATGCAACCACTGAATAAAGGGCTCCTGATTTGGGACAGGCACATACAGAACGTGGCGGGGTTAAACATGTTAGCTGGAAAAAAAAGAACTATAAAAGTCAGTTGAAAAGGGCTTAACTTATTGATACATAGCACAAAGTAAAATTAAAGTATAGTTTTCTTGACTTTGAAAACACTTGACAAGCAAGCACATTTGGTAGGTTCGATACCAGGCAAGTGGATGAGAAAGTCAAGTTCTGTACTATTTAAATCTGTTAACCTCCAGAAAATGTCATGAAGAGTTCAAGTAAGAATTCCACTTTGTGGATTTCTTCTTTTTTTTATAATTTCTTTTTTTTATTCATCATGGATTGACCGGCATTTACATATATTATCTATAGTTTCACATAATAAAGCAAGCAAGAAAAATAAGCATAATCAAGCAAATAAGAGTAAACAAAAATAGTAATAATAATACGGTATAATATAACAGAATACAATATATATATGGACAAAGTATAACATTTTCATCAAGTAATATAGTGATAATGGAAATTACATTTCAAGCACATTTATACATAATAATTCACTATTAAATTAATTAATGACTTTATCCCAGGGGTTCCAGTACATGTTATAATCTTTCGCACTCATATTTTTTGAGGAAATATGCTTTTCTAAAATTAAGTTTTCTTTGATATAGTTTTTAAGTCCCTCTATATGAGGTTTTTCCTCTTGCATCTTAGATCTGTAGATGAAATATTTTACTAGTAAAATGACTTTATTCTTTATAAAATTTAGTTTATAGTTACCATAAAGACCAAACATGGCTATACCCATATTTAGTGGAATTTCAATATGTGTTGTTTCAAAAATCCAAGCATTCAGATGGTGCCAAATGTCTGCTACAATATGACAGCCCCACAATAAGTGTTCTATGCTTTCTGGTTCTTCCTTGCAAAATGTACATAAATTACACTGTACAAGGTTCATTTTTAAAAGTAAAGTATTAGTACCTAAAATACGGTGAATAATTCGGTATTGAAACCAACAGAGCTTGGTATTTTTTTTAATTTTAGTGACATAATTATGGATTTTTTTCCAATCTCCTACAACGTTATTCAATATACCCTCCCATTTTCGCTCAGCTGCAATAACAACTGGTAATTCACCTTGGTTTAAAATATTATACATCTTTTGAACCTTTGTTTGACATGAAAAAAATGTTAATATTAAAAGGTAACAAAGCTTGTTGGTTTTTTTCCCTTTCAGTCTTGATTCCCATATAGATTGTAACCATTGTTTTAATGCTACTTTAATACCATAAAATTGTAAAAATGTGGGTTTAAAAGTATATAGCCGTTCAAAATTTTGATAGGACAATATATTTCCTTGCTCATCTAGAAGGTCACTTACAGTCCATACCCCGTTTTGTGCCCAACTTCTCTAATAAACATTGGCGTTATCAATTTTAATGTTCTCATTATTCCATATAGATGAAGATATGACTTCCTCAAAATAGCGAGGATGTCGGAATCTCGACATATTTTTCCAGGCACAAATAACTTCTTTCTAAAAAACGTTATCTAATTTTTTAGTTGTTCCAAAATAAGCCAACTCTGTAAAATTTATATTTTGTGTAGCAGTAAATAATTTGATCCACTTTGAATTTGAATTAAATAATCTTCTAACCCAGGTCAATTTTAGCCCTTATATAAAATTTCTCAAATTAATCATTTTTAAACCACCTCTGCAGTATTCTTGACATAAAAGCTCCCGATTTACCTTGTCGGGTTTACCATCCCAAATGAAAGCATAAATTTTACTATTGAGTTGTCGTAGTACATTTTCATCTGGACTTGGGATGAATAAGAATAGATGATTCAATTTTGATATAATTAAAGATTTTATAATAGTTATTTTACCAAATGGAGTAAGCGACTGTTTTGACCATTTTTGTATAATATTTTCTATTTCTTGAATTCGAGGAGCATAATTTAGATTTAACATTCTATTCAAATCAACACAAAAAGTGATACCCAATAATTTGAAGGTACTGGAACCCCATTTCAATCCCCACTTTAAACATATTTTATCTTGACTATGTTTTTTTACTTCCTATCCATATAACATTTGTTTTATCTAAGTTAATTTTCAGTCCTGATATCTCGGCATAGAATTCTAAAATACGGAGGGATGCATCTAAAGAGGAAGGAGATCCATCTAATATAAGTGATGTGTCATCAGCATATTGAGACAATATAAACT